TACTTTATACAGATCATTTACTGTCATTCACATCATTTACTGATTTTTTTATTAATCCCACCTGTCACTGGGAGATGGGGTATTACAGTCTGCAGGAAAAATCACAGAGTTGCCTGTTTTCACTTTAATTCTGTAATTTTTTGCTTCAGGTGTGTCAAAGCCTTGTATTGGATTATACACACTTATGATTGTTATGTCTTCCTGATTGTTGACCCTTTTCCATGAAGTGACCCTCTATGTCTCTAATAATACATTTTGACACCTGCTTTATCTGACATTAACATTACTGCTCCAGCCTTCTTTTGCTGTCTACATGGTATATATTCATGGTGTATATTTTTTCTATCCATTTCCTTTTATTGTCTGTGTCTTTATATTTATTTATTTGTTTTTTAAGAGTAAAAGATGGACAACATAGTAATAGGGGGATTTACCAAATTACAGACAAAGTGGTAGGACATTATCAATGGTTGTTATTTTACCTATTGGTATCTTCAAGATAGTTTCTCAGGATAACAGACGAATAATAGTGAGTTACAGACAAAAATGGTAGGAAATTATCAGTAGTTGTTGTACTATACTTTGGTTTCTTCAAAATGGTTTCTAGAGAAAATAGAGCTATACATGAGTGATCAATTAAATAATCATTGACTTTTCTCAATGGTTGTTGTTGGAAACACATAGTTATAAACATACATCCATTTACAAAATAGCATAGGAACAATACAAACATTACAGAGTTATGGACAGATTAGTAAAAATATCAGTGGTTGCTGTAATAGGTGGTGGTATCTTCAAAGTGGTTTCTCAGGAAGACAGAGATACGCAAGAAAGATCTAACAAGTAGTCACAGCCTAAGGGTTGTGAAAGTAGCATATTACCTCCTCACCAGTGACTCCTTTCACTGAGGTGTGATGGCTGGAAGGAAGGCCAGGATTGAAAAGAAGGACCAAGAGACTAGCAGCAGTGTCCAGCAATAGGCTGTTTACTTTTTCCTCTATAGTCATGATTACGCAGGGTTCCTCCTTGGAGATAACAGTCTGGCCAGAGGGAGAAGGCAGTGTGCCCTGAACCCCCTCATCCCTGTTGGACCAGCTGGTAGGAGGGGTCTGAGCTCTGGGGCCTTCACTTCAGAGGGTAGTCCAGCCTCTAGTGGTCACCTTTACAGTCAGGGCATGGCCCAGGGGTCTTCTTAGGGCAGTCCCTCTTGAGGTGGCCTGGCTTTTGACAGCAGTAGCAGATGAATATAGTCGTCGAGTTCTTGTTGGGGCCCCAAGAATCAGACTTAGGGTCTGTTTCTCTTAGTGCTGCAGCAAAGACAGCTGTTTTTACTCTGTCTCTTTGTTTTCTCTCCTTGGCTGCCACCTCATCACAGCTATAAAATACTGAGGAGGCAATTCTTACTAACATCTCAAGTGAACTATCTGGGGCAAAAGCCATTTTTTGTATCTTCTTTCTACTATCTGGGGCTGACTAATAAACTTATCTTCAAGAATAGTTTGTCCCGCTACTGAACTGGGATCCAGGGAAGTATGCTTTATCAATGCCACTTGTCTAAGAAAGCAGAGGGGTGTTCTCTCCAGCCTCCCAGTGCACTGGGACCCTGCAACCACTTAGTGTCCTCTCCTCAACCATCAACACAGGCGGCAGGAACATGTGGCTGAAGTCCTCAGCCCACTAGTCAGTCTCAGCACCATCAGGTGTGAAGTGTCCCAGGCAGGTAACCTAGACACGCACCTTCTCCATGCAGGCGGTTCTTGAGAATCTGAACATTGGGAATCCATTAAGTCTCAGTGCAGACTTCTCCAGAGCCTCACTTGCTCCTCCACCACAGCCTGTACATTTAGGGGAAGAATGGCTTCCAGAGGGTCTCCCCAGGTATTGCACAAGGTCCTCCTGATTTCCAGCTCCCGAACGGCTCTTTTCATCCCCAGTCAGCTCAACCTCTGAGTCGATGGGTGTCATCTGTATTCTCGTGTTCTCCAGCTCCTTGTTCAGCAGCTGCTCCTCTGCTGACTCGGGACCTTTCTGGCTCTCAAGGGCAGGGCCAAGAGCGACCCACCATGTGGCATGTTTTCCCAGAGGTTTCTCCATGTCGAGATGGTTCACACACATCTCCGGGCGGGCCTCCGCAGCCGGTGCGGGGCGGGCCGATTGTGTCAGTGCTTCTCTGTGACATGGTAGTTCTCAACCACGTGGCGGCGGCTGGCCCAAGGGCTGGCACATGTCTCCGTGCCGCTTCCCGGAAACCTGCTGCCCACCTTCCGGGTGCCCACACGCATGGCTGTGTGTCTTTATATTTAAAATGTGTCTCTTGTGAGAGTGTGTTAGTTGGGTGTTGCTTTTTCAAATTTATTTATTTATTTAAATGTCAATAAAATATTTTTAATGCCTGCCATTTCTTGTATACGTAAATTGTAAAACCTTCACCAGTATGTGCAAAAGTATGTACTCTTGCTGGTCAGCAGCACCAGAAAACAAGCTAAGCTATGTAAAGATTTTTAAAACTTGATTAGTCCATTATGTAAAAGACATGATGGGTTTAATAGCCTCAAAGAAATCTGTGTTCCATTCTTAATGATGCACTAAACACCTGAATATTTATTTCATTACATCCACTCACAAAATAGATAGTAGTCTAGTATATTCAGCACACTGAAAATAAAACAACCAGTCTCTCTACGTATATTCATTCTCTTTCCAAAAGTATGTTGGTCTCCTGCTATAATCTCAGAAATGTACTAATAGTTGCCTTTAAATTATAAAATACAAAGAACAATTTATTTCTTGGAGAAAAATCTTGGGGATTACCATTTAAAAATGAAATTTTGACTTCCCACAGTATTTATTTATTTATTTATTGAGACAGACTCTCACTATGCAGCCCAGGCCGGCCTTGAACTTGCGACAGTCTCCTGCCTCAGCCTGCTGAGTACTGAGATTAGGCTGTGTGCCACCCCACCTGTCTCCAAGGACTTTTTGACTCTGATGTTCTCTGTGTATTATGTGGTGTGTTTGATGCTGTTATTGTTCTCATGTAATACTTAGTGTAATCGTTGTTTTTGTCCTCTCTCTTTTTTGACCCTATTCATCTTTTCTTCCCTTTTGAACTTGACTTTTATTTTTCCTGTTGGCTTTTTTGCTTCAGTTATTCACTTTATTCTTTAAGTAGTTTCCCGTGGCTCACAACACACTTCTGTAAGTTACTTTCCCACCTGCAGTTAATGCCTGGCACTTACACCTCGTAACAGCAGTATGCACGAGCTTTGCAGTGCAGCATGGTGGCTGCAGTTAAGAACAGTGTCTTAGGCTTTTGAGAATCACAAAACAGATTATAGGGGCCGGGGATGTAGCTCAGTGGCACAAGCACCTGCCTGGCAAGCGCAAGGTCCTGAGTTCGATTCCCGGTACCAAAAAAAAAACCCTAAAAAAAACAAAAAACAGATTTTAGTTGTTCTTACTACAAAAAAAATTTTAAAAAATGGTAAATGGACAAGTAAGGGAGGTGACGCAAGTGTTATTTAGCTTGAGATAGTCTTTTCACAGTATACATCTACTGTACACAATAGAGCATATTGTACAAGTAAATATAGACAATTTTTGTCAATAAAAATAAGTGATAGTCATTTACAGTTAGTACTGTACACTTCCTGCAAAATATTGAGGTCTTGTAACCTTATAGATTCATGTTTACTCCTTACACTATGCTAGTTATATATGCAAATGTTAACAGTACCAAATGACAATATTGCCATTTTTATTGTTAGAAGTTTAAAGGTTGTAAGAACACTGGAAGGAAAAGGGGAAAAGAAAAACCTTAGTCGTTGTGCTAATTCAGATATCTATCATTTGCAGCACTTCTCGTTGGTATGGGAAGGGCTGGGGCTCATCTTAGATAATTTGTGTGTGGCCTGGAGAATTTCCTTTAGCATCTCTTTGTACAAACACACCTTCTGCGATGAATTCTTTCTGGGTTTCTTCATCTGAGATTGACTTTGTTTTGCCTTCCTTCTTAGAAGGTATTTTGCTGGATATAGAATTCTGGATTGAATCTTTTCTCATCTAGTTTTTTAGAAGATACTGCTCCCCTCTCTTCCAGCCTCTGCAGTTCACGACGTGAAGTCGGGTGTCCATGAGACCTGGTCCCTTGTGTCATTTTCTCTTGCTTCTTTCAGTATTTGGTCTTCACCTCTGGTTTTCAGCAGGTGAGCTCTGATGACCTTGAGGCTGGCCTTGGTGCATTCCGTTCCCTTGGTCTTTGATGAACACTTCATTATTGCACATTCTGCCCATCAAATTTGGGATGTTTGGGTCATTCATTTTTGGACTTTTTTCTGCCTTGTTCTTTCTCTTTTGCGCTCTTCTCTTTGTATTCCTATTAAGTGTAAGTTGGATTGCTTGATATCAAACAAATCCACAAGGCTCTGCAAGATCCTGTGCAGCCTTGGAGACCCTTGGGAGGAGCTGGGAATGGTGACTCTGTATCAGGAGATGCAGCGGTGGTCGTGTGCTATGTGGATAAGGGTGCCCTCAGCACACAGATTTCCCCTTTCAGGGCTGTGTCATTCACAGTCCGAACTGACAGAGAGCACAGCCTCAGGTTGCATGACCTGTCAGGTAGCATTGTTGGAGTAAAAGCAAGAGACCAGGAGGGATGGTTTTCTGCATGTTGGGAAGTTGAAGTAGATATTTTAATTGCCTTTCCACTTCTGAGGTTCTCAGCTGTCACAGAAGGAAAATAAACTGGCCTGCACGTAGAAAAACAGAATGACAATGAAAACCACAGTCTAAACGTAAAAAGCACAGGCATAGGGAATGGGAAGGTGGTAGCAAAATGAAGAGTTGCGCTGCTCCATACGAACGGCCCCGTGGATTCTGCATCAGAGCAGCCGTGTCCACTGCCGGCGGCCTTAGGTGAAAGCAGCGTGCCAGTGCCTGCTTATAGATCTGGTCGCTCTGGGGGAGCATCTGAGACTCACGCCATCCTTCCTCTGGTCTAGATGACAGTGCATCTGCGGCGAGCAGCATGGAGGTGTCGGACCGCATCGCCTCTCTGGAGCAGCGCGTGCAGATGCAGGAGGACGACATCCAGCTGCTCAAGTCCGCGCTGGCCGACGTGGTTCGGCGGCTGAACATCACGGAGGAGCAGCAGGCCGTGCTCAACAGGAAAGGACCTACCAAAGGTGGGCTGGGAGCAGGGACGGGGCGGCGCCGGGCGCCTGAGGAGGCTTGCTCCCACTGTGGTGTTGACCAGCGATGCAAAACTCAGAACCACGAGAGCACAGTCCTAGCGCTGTCACAGTCATCGCACCAAGCGCGGAAGTCTATTCTAGGTGGTGCTGGTAAATCATCCTCCCCAGGGGTGTGTTTATAAGTGATGGTTAAATGCCCATTGAGACGAGGAAGAGGCCGTCCCGACGGACAGTGGAGAATGGTGTTTACCAAGATCCTGTGGGGTGCAGAGAGCGCGAGGGAAGAACCACTCTCCTTCCCGCGCCTTTCTCGGGCTGCCCCACCTGCAGAATCTAGTGCTAACCCCCGTCTCTTTCTGTGTCCCAAGCTTATGTTGTCATTCAGTTCAGCACAGGAGGCAGCTAATCAGCCATGTGCCACCTTCGAGGCCCTCGGCCAAGGATGGGGCCTTCCTTCCTTCCTCCCTTCCTCCACGGAACTCGGGGTCCTGAAGGCAACCTAGATCCACACGCTAGCTGCTGGCCCTCCTCCCTGCTGGCAGCCAGGCTGTGCCTGCTGCTTCCTGGGCCTCCTCTGCCAGCCACCAGCCCTCCGCGCCTGGGGCTTCCTAGCACATTTCAGTCATCGTTTCATGTCCCTGTGCTTCTGGTCACAGAGCATAAAAAAACAATGTGTGAGTTAAACAACTTTGTAGTGATCTGCTTCTTAAAATTTTGCAAGCCAGTGCCCAGTTAAGTTTCCCTGTCCGTAGTCGGCATCCCCGTGTCCGTAATAAACTGGCGAGCACCTGGTGAACTCTGACTGCAGTGACTTTGCCCATCTCACCGTGGCTGTAAAAGTTCTTGCGGCGAAAACATTTTGAGGTGGCAGTGTGTAAATGTCCCTTTACAGATGCCTTCCCTTTTTTTGTTTGGCTTTAGCAGGTTATTTCACTCACAGTTAATACATTTTCCTTGGGATCAAGAGACAGTTGTCTATCATTGCATCTTTCAGTTTTTTCTCACGTACCTGGTACATTTTCACACCTTTGTAAAAAGGGACCTCTTTCTTTGTCCTTCAGGGTAGCTATGGCCAAGTCCATGTGAGACACGCATGCTCGGTTGATGTCTCCATTTTGAATAATCTTTTAAGGTAATCTTTTCGTCTTCCTGAGTTACAGAATGATTAGGATATTTTAAATAGAAACCAGGTTATTTTAGGTATTCTTGACCTACTCAGCCTTCCAAAAATAAATCTGATGACTACTGTATCCCAAAGGGTACTTTTGAAGTAGTTGCCTTATATGAAGCTCCAGACTTACAAAACATCTTTATTTTTTTCAAAAGGGGTGTGTGTGTAATATTTTGGGTATGCCCAAGAGTTTTATTTTTTCTTGATTATGAATGAAGTTTGATTTTTACAAAACTTCTAAGAGAAGTGATTTTTTTCAGTTACCTGATATTTCTTTATAAGATTCTTCTGATGAGGGAAAATGAATCCCAGCATGAAAGTCAGAAGGCCACAGGAGCACAGGCAAAGAGGGGGTGATATCCCCCAAAAGGGCAGATCTGTGGTGGCCCTACCTTCTGTGCAGTCGATCGGGGCTGGGCCTCACTGTGGGCCTCGTAGTCATGGTCTGGTGAGGGAATTTTGTGGGCAACATGGATTTTAGGCAAACCTTTATTTTTGAAGAGATCACATGATTACACGCTAAATCCTTAGGGGTTCTCCAGTATTGACATACATATATTGAGCCATCTCAGGGATGAAACCCGAGTCCAAACACATTCATTTATGTTTTATATGCACCCTACACATACCCTAAAGTGACTGTGACTTATTTTTCTGTTACTATAACAAATACCCGAGATAGACTCATACAGAGAAAAGATTTATTTCTGCTGGCAGTGTGGGAGGGTTCGGTCCACAGCCAGTTGGCACGACTGCTGTGGGCCTATGGCAAGACAGCACGCCATGGTGACATCATATGGCAGATCTGCCCACCTCAGGACACAGGGGATTGTGGAGGAAGGGGCTGGGGCCTGTAACCCTTCAAGGCCACACCCACATGAGTAGAAGGACCTCCCAGCAGGCCACCTCTTCAAGTGATTTTCTATAGTATTTTTGTGTCCCTGCATTTTGACTGCAACCCGTCATGTGAAGTCAGCTGTGAAATTTTCTCTTTGTGTCACGTCAGCACTCAGAAAGTTTCAGATTTTGGTGCATTCTAGCTCAGGAATTATTATTATTATTATTATTATTATTATTATTATCATTATTAGCACCTTATTGTGACTTTCTATCCTGATACAGATTTGACATAGACTGGAGACACAGCACTCTAATTTTTAAATATTAAGTGACTTACCCCCAAAGGTTAATTGTGAGAAATTCAGAGCTTGGGGTTCGAACCTTCAGAGTATGTCTTTGTGGTGTTGCCTGGTTAGGGTTAGAAGCAGCCTGCCCTGGACAGCAGTGAGAAGTCTCCAGGCCTGGGGTGGCTCAGCTCACGATTAGTACCTGACAAGTGTCCCTTCTGTGTGCTGTGGCTGCCCCTGTTCGTCACACCACAGGCCACACTCACCAGCTTTAGTATTGCCTGTGAGGCGATAAATAGTAACTTAGATCCAGTGAGCAATTTGTCCCTCAAATGCATTCAGCTGAAGAATTTATCCCTGGGTGTTTGTACTAAAACCGAAAGTCCAAACATGCGATTAGCCAGCGGAAGTTGTTCTGATAAATGCGGTAAAGGAAGCATCATATTAGTTAACAGGAAGTTGTCCTGCTGTATGCAGTAAGTGGAAATTGAAAGTGTTATTTCCAGATCAGCCACACCACATACGTTCATCTAAGTGTGAGCCCAGCCATCCCATGAGATTCCTTTTATGGTCTTGCACTTGGCTTTACATGTGTTCCAAATAAGCAGTGTTGCCTGCCTCTCAGCAGAAATTGTAGATACCAGCTGTAGAGTGAGCTTGACGTTCCAGTAAGAGCGGTAACCACTTTCTCTGGAGCTTCTGTAGACCCTCAGAACAGAAGAGGAAGCCGCATTTGCAAGGACTGTTGGATTCAGGGAATGCTGGATTTTGTGGAAGATTCCTTCCGAAGAGAGACTCATGACAGTTGGTGGTTGTGGCGAGCGCACTTCCAGGAGTCACTGTCTGTGCCTTTGTGTCTTACCGTCCACTGCAGGGGCTGGACAGGGACCAAGGGCTGTGCTGCTTCAGAAAGTCGCTGGCTCGTAGGTTTGAAGCACTGACAGTAAGGGGCTGCAGCGCATCTTCAAATGTACACTTAACTATTGGGAGAGGTGAGATCAAAGTTTCCTCAAAAATAAAACTCACTAAAACAGTACAGTTTGAATTAGACTTGTGGGAGCTGTAACAGTTGTTTAGTTGGACCTAAAAGGTCAAACTAAAAAAATTGTTCCACTTAAGAACTAATCCAACAGTTTGACCTGCAGGGACAGATTGTTCAACTGATACAATAATTCCTTTCCAAGATAGTATTTCACTTATTCGAAGAAATTTATGCTGACTTCTAAGCTTGGACCTATTTTATCGTTCTCTGTGTGACTTAACTAGTAACAGTGAGGGGGCTGGGGATTTAGCTCAGCGACAAAAGCGCCTGCCTGGCAAGCGCAAGGTCGTGAGTTCGGTTCCCGGTACCGGAGGAAAAAAAAAAACTAGTAACAGTGAGCCCAACAGCCTTATGAAAGTAACTGACCGACACAGTGAGCTCAAGGATTCCTGAGACAGGGAGAGACTGGCCAGCCCCTGCAACATGTACCACCCTGGATGTGTGGTCTCCTTAGAGGCCTGAGCTCCCCACAGCGTGTGCCTGTCCCGAGGTGGCTTGCTCATTCTAATTATCGTCATACATCTTCACTGTAGAGAAAGAACCTCGGCTTGCCAAGTGGGCTTTGTACATGCTGGGTTTATATTCAGACAGAACGATTGGGGAACATTTCAGTTTTGCAGAGCTTGGATTGCTGGGTAGTGGGGGAAAGAGAATCAAGCAGTGGAGGTTGTCTTAGTTACTTCTCTCGTTGCTGAGACAAAATACCCAACAACAGAGTTAACAAGAAAAGGTTTATTTGGTTCACAGTTTTCAGAGGTTTCAGTCCATAATCGGCTGGCTCCAAGGCAGGGTGCTTGGGAGAGGGGACTCACAGGGGAGAAACAGTCCATGGCCGGGCAGGAGACAGCAAAGCAGCAGCAGCAGCCTGCTCTTTTTTATCCCTTCCAGTCTACCCACCTTTCAGGGTGAGAAGGTGGCATTCCTATTATCCACACCCAGAACTGTGCCAGGCTAATCAGTTGACTGATTTAGTAATCATGCACCCCTCCTCCCAGCATCACACACACTAGATCCGGCTACCTCCAAAGAGCCCCTTGAGAGGACATCTAGACGCAAGCCATACGAGAGGTCTATATGCCTTAAAATCCTGCTCATATTAGAGGTTTTCGGAGTTGTGAGTTGTGATTGGAGTGGGGCCAGACTCACCGCCAGCAGGGTGCAGTAGGCAGACCCTCTTACTGTTGCTGCTGTGAGAGCAGCTACAGAAAAATGCTTGATGAATGGGGGAGTCCTTGCCATGTTACACACAATGGAGACACATTGGGAAGGAAACAATGGGAACAGCAGGTGATCAGGGCCTGGCCGGAAAACTACGCTATTTCCATGTGATTAAGTCCTGTATCACCTTTACGGTGTTTGTGATACTGGTCACAAGGAGGGAGATGTTTGTGTATTACGTTGACTCAAAAGCAGGGTATAAAGCTGCATATGCTGGGTCATTTCAGCTAACGAGATGAAATGCGTGACAGGAGGCTGTGTGAGGCATAACAGAAGTTACCAGCAAAATTTTTCTCAGTGGCAGGACTGTAAACTTCTTTCTTGGAAGAATACTTTGCTTCTAAATGCTCTGTGCTGTGTATTCCTTAGGAATCCTAAAAACCTGCCTTAAAAGTCACTTCTTTTGCCATCTTCAATTTACATCTGAATCTGA